CCCCGCCCCGGCCAGTACAAATATAGTTCAAGGTCAATTCAAATCTATTAAACATAAAAATCTTTTCTAAACATGAAACATTAAGTAACAAACGACAGAAAATTCAGTTGATATCGCAGACCTTTCTGCCTAAAAGTCTTACAATAGAATCCTTCCTGTAACTCAAAAAACTCTGAACTTCGTCATCACATTTCATTTTTTGTCTTTAAAAAAAAGTAATAAAAAACCCAAATCTGTTCCTACTGAACCGATTCCAACTCACAGCAACCCTACGGGACAAAGCAGAACTGCCCCATAGGGTTTCCAAAGAGTGGCTGGTAGAGTCGAACTGCCAACCTTTTGGTTAGCAGCTGAGCTCTTAACCACTGCAACCCCAGGGCTACAAGGGATGCCAATATTAGAGTTTCTGATTCTCTAGGGGGCTGGGGGAACAGCAAGAGACTAATTTTAGAGGATACTGTGTATTTTTATGAATTTGTGAGACTGCACAGACATAGAGTAGAAAACTCCAATCTTCTTTTAAACTCTACAACAGGCAGTTAATATTTACCTCTCATTGGCCTTCTATGAACCTAATAAACTTATAGGCATTATTCCTTCAAAACTGCAATTACTGCACATTTGATTTTGTGTTCCTTTGCTTTTCCTTTAATATCAATCTGTCTTTAAAGCGTATAGGCCCACCACAATACAAACTGTGATCCAAAATATTTTTCTACACAGCCATGTAGAAAACTTCTAGGATGAGAAAATAAATGTTGTATGTATTTTCATTTAGCAGTATGCCAAGCTGCTTTTTAACAATCAGATCCTCACACGTTCACCTGGTCCTCAAACATCAAAAAACAGTAATAATAGCTTCTGTAACCTACAACCTAGTGATTTATTTACTGCATAGATAGCCATTAATCTTTCTTTCAGCACATCAAAGAGTGTTTAAAAAAAAAACAAAACAGCAGCAATCCATCCCAAATCCTTCATTCTTGGGAAAGAGGAAAGGGTATCTGCCAAGCACAAGTCACTAACTGCTCTAATTTTTCAAAACCCTATGAGGTAGATATCCCTTCTTGCAACTCCTTTCTTACAATTTCTATTGAGGTAAAAAGGTAATTTGTCCAAAGTTACACAGCTAATAATCGGTGAAGCTGGGGAACAAGCTGGCTCGGTCTGGCTCAAGCTCTCAGCCACTGCCACTACAGTTCTATGTTGTTGTTGTTATGTGCCGTTGAATCGGTTCTGACTTATAGCAGCCCTATTAATGAAACACTGCCCAGGCCTGCACCGTCCTCACAATCGTTGCTATGTTTGAGACCATTGTTGCAGTCACTGTGTCAGTGTATCTCGTTGAGGGTCTTCCTCTTTTTCACTGACCCT